CGGTTCGCGTTGAGTGCCAGAGGGAAGGACCTCTCGCTAGCAGGGTACTGCATGGAGCACGCGCTGTTTGAGTGTTTTGTTGAAATCAGGGTGCGGAGGGAGTGGCTGCTTTTTTATTGTGCTGTCCTAACTGCTCTATTAAGTAGGGCGGAGATAACTAATTTTAAAACACTGTCCTTTCTTAATGAATGTACAGTTTTTTCATTCAGGGTCGCGTATGCAAAAAGATAGGCAGCACATTTATAAATAAAATTTTGGTAAGTGGGAGATGGCCATTCCTGTACATGGAAAAATAAACAAAATGTTCTTTCCATAAATCCTTTTCAGTTTCATGAAATGACAGTTGTGAATTTATTAAAATACATAATAAAGCTCAGTTGCAGAAATACAATAGTTCTTCCTAATCCACAGGATATGTTCTCCAGCCCCCAGTGGCAGCCTAAAATGGAGTGCGGGTAGAGCTCTAATGTAATACTTGACTATCTTAACCAAGCACTATTGCTGTGGAACTCTTGCAGTTTAAATTCTGACGGCAAAACTGGCATGGATTTTTGTTGTTATCATCATCACAATTTTACAGGTTGAATGTTCATTCTTGCTACAAATTTTAGCGACTTCAGCATAGAAATTTTTTTTACAGTGGGAAAGTGTGAAACTTTAACTTTTCTCCTGAAGGAAACACTTTGAAGCTGGACCTGGCTCTGGGGAGGCCGAAGCAGGAGGATTGCTCCAAGATTCGGGCCAGTTAGACTTGGGGCGTGAGACCTTGTCCCAAAAAAACAAAACAAAGTACAGCTTTACAGCTTTCCTTTGGCATTTTTATCAGAATTACCACAATACCTACTCTTTCACTTTGGTGGCATTATTAAGAAAAGTAAGGGTGTGTGAACACATATTTTGATATAGAAGAGTAGTGGATAATTTGTGTGTGTGTGTGTGTGTGTGTGTGTGTGTGTGTGTGTGAGTGAGAGAGAACTGGGCTGTGTTTTCTTAGCTGAAAACCTCTACATGCCAGTAGCACACCTTCTGGAATTGTTATAATCAAAACTGTCTCCAGGCTTTGCCTATGTCCCACGGAGGGCAAATTGCTCTGAATGAGATCTGTTAACCTAGTGTTTCTCACAGAAGAAACTGCACATAAGCAGATAGGAAATTTTCTTTTGTTTTTCCTTAATAATCAACCACGTTAGGACAAATTAAAGGGTTTGTTTTTGCTTTTGTGTTTTGAGACAGGGTCTCTCTACATAGCCTTGGGTGTCCTGGAAATCACTCTGTAGATCAGGATGGCCTGGACTCCAGAGATCCTCCTGCCTCCCAAGTGCTAGGGTTAAAGACATTTGTTACTACACCCAGCACAAAATTATTGTTTTAAAATAAATGTTGCTGGGTGTTGTTGGCACACACCTTAATCCCAGCACTTGGGAGGCAGAGGCAGGAGGATCTCTGTGAGTTTGAGGCCAGCCTGGTCTACAGAGTGAGTTCCAAGACATCCAGGGCTAAAGAAACCCTGCCTCTAAAAAAACTGAAATACATACTTTAATAGTCATAGAAAACAAATGCATGCCAATAACAAATGAAGTTAAACTAAGTTAAAAAAATCTGCAAGGTGTAGTAGGGTTATAGTCATATAGGAAGAGTATTTTCAACTAAAAATATATAATTTACATAGTTCTAATTATAAACTTCAGCATCTATTTTTCTAGTCAACCATGATAAACCCAATTTTGAGCTAGGGATATCACTCAAAGGTGAAGAAGTTACTTACCATGTGCAAGGTCCTGGGTTTAATCTCTCTCTCTCTCTCTCCTTCTCTCTCTCTCTCTCTCTCTCTCTCTCTCTCTCTCTCTCACACACACACACACACACACACACACACACACACACTTTAAAATTCAGGTTGTTTATACCCGTTAACTTAATAATACTTCAATTTAGGCTTTATTCAATGAAAGTAAATACATGAAATTTCCAGAAAGTAACAGTGCATGGTATGGCCCCCTTAACAGGCTCTATCTCCCTGTGGAATATGATGTAATCATGCAATTTACCCCAATGTGAGTTTACTTCCTTGTATTGATCTGAAAAAAATGCCCATGACACATTAAGTGAATGAAGCTTCCCACTGATTTGGTTTCAGGTTCATGAAGAGCATACCATCCCATACACACAGATGTGTAGTCTGGAGACAAATCCAAGATGGATATAGTGGTGATAGTTGAGCATGGATTAGGGAAACAAATAATTTTGTTGATTTAACTAATTTTTCCTTCATTTTTTTATTTTATGCATATGGGTCTTTTGTCTACATGTGTATCTGTGCACCGTGTGTGTGCAGTGATTGTGGAAAGCAGAAGAGGGCATTGGGTTCCCTGGGACTGGAGTTACAGGTGGCTATGAGCCACTGTGTGGAAGCTGGGAATTAAACCTGGACCCTCAGGAAGAGCATCCAGTGCTCTTGACTGCGGAGCCATCTCTCCAGCCCAGAAACCACTTTGTGCTCTGTGAGACCATGGTCTCACTGTGTAGTCCTGGCTGTCCTGGAACGCGCTCTATAGATCCACCTGCCTCTGCAAATCCCTTTTGTGGAAGAGACTGCTGAGTGAAAAACAGCTGTTCACTACATGAGTCTCAAATGACGATGAGAATGAACTGGAGTCACCTGTAGCAATCATGACTGTATCTGTATAATGTCTTTCACTTCAGTTTCCGCTGACTTTTGAAGATGTGGCCATTTATTTCTCTGAGCAAGAGTGGCAGTATTTAGAAGCATGGCAGAAGGAACTTTACAAGCATGTCATGAGAACCAATTATGAGACTCTTGTCTCTCTAGGTAAGGAGCTTTCAACTTCTGGGGTGAGACTTGCAACTGGATTTTTTTTTTTTTTTTTTTTTTGAGACAGGGTTTCTCTGTGGCTTTGGTGGCTGTCCTGGAACTAGCTCTCGTAGACCAGGCTGGTCTGGAACTCACAGAGATCCACCTGCAGGCGTGTGCCACTACCGCCTGGCTGTAACTGGATCTTTTGAGAGCTCCTCAGTCACTTGATACTCCAATTAGGCAGCAAGATTGCTTGGGTACTAACTCAGAAAGGCCCTTTATCTCTTTGTGTTGGTGTTGTTGCTAATAATAAAGTGCACATTACCCTTCTTTATTCTGGTGGACGTTACAGGACAGTATTTAAGACATGTGATGTCACATAGTCAGAGGTAACTAAGGCATATGTTAAAATGCTTCCCATTACAGTTTACTCTGAAATTGCCTGATTTTTTTTACCGGGAAGCACACCTGCCTCATGCCCATAAAGTACCTGTGTGTCTTACTGTAGAAATTGGCCTCCTTGCAGCTTTATAGTGGGGTTAAAGACTTCAAGAATCTAATGGTCTTCCATGTAGTGTAGTCGTGTAGTCAGAAAGAGTGCATACTCTAGATGGGATAATGGGTGTTTTCTCGTTTGGTTCTCTCATCCTCATCATCCTCACACTCACCCCACCTCTTCCTGTGTGTGATTCTAGAGATAACATCCTGGTCTTTGCCTATGCTTTACCACTGAATTAAACTTACATCATCTTTATAGTTCTTGTTTTTTGGATTTTTTTGCTGTTTTATAGTTTTTTTTTTTTTTTTTTTGAGACAAGTTCTCACTGTATAGCTGAGGCTGACTTGGAACTCACTATATAGACCAACCTGGCCTCTAATCCACAAAGATCTATTTGGTTTGAGTGCTGGGATTAAAGGTGTGTAGCAGCCAGTTATGGTGGCACACCCTGGTAGGGTATGCTGATGAGGCAAAGGCAGGAAGATTATAAATTCAAGGCTAGCCTGGGCTGCACATTTGTGGGCATGGTGATTCACACCTTTTAATCTCAGAACTTGGGAGGCAGAGGCATGTGGATCCCTATGAATTCGAGGCCATCCTAGTCTATGTAGTGAATTCCAGGACATGATGGGCTAGAAAGAGATACAAAAAAAAAAAAAAAAAAAAAAAAAAAAAAAAAAAAAAAAAAGGTCTGAACTATATGCCTGGTTAGTTTTTCTTATTTATCAAATGAATTTTTAAATGAGTGTGGAGCTAGAGAGATGACTCAGTAGGTCAGTAGGGAAAGCACTTGCCTTGGCAGCATGGAAATCTGAATTTACATCATCAGGACCCACATAAAAAGATGGGTGCAATGGCACAGGCCTGTTTATAGTCCCATCCACGGGTCAGGTGAGAGGTCAAGACAAGCAGATCCCTAGAAGATTGAAGGCCATCTACCCTGACCCACATGGCAAAAAGTCTGGCTAATGACAGATGCAGTCTCAAAATTTAAAAGGTGGAGTGTAACAGGTCTTTCTTTGGACTGCCAGCTCCCAAATAATGACACAGAGACTATTTATTAAATGTGAAAGCTTAGCCTTGGCTTAGGTGTGTTCTCAACTAGTTCTTAAAACAAATTAGCCGACTTATATCCATCTGCACCCTGCTTCATGGCTCTCCTCAGGACCACATGTCTGATTCCCTCTGAGTTTGGTTGGTGAATTTCCAGCCTCAGATTCTTTCCCAGAGTTCGTATCTCTCCCAGAAGTCCCACCTATCCTAGCTAGGAGAGCCTAGCTATTGGTCATTCAGCTCTTTGTGAAACCAATCAGAAGATGCCTTAGGTGAGTGAGGAAGGGCAGAGACACATCTTCACAGAGTTTACAAAAGGATTATCCCAACAGTGGAAGGTGTCCTAAAAACCAATACCCAAGTTTGTTCCTTGACTTCCACATGCGTGCCATGTTACCCCTACATACACACGTACAAAATCACGCATAAAAGTTGGCCTGTTCAATAGGAGTCAAGGGCATGGTGGGAGACCCAAAGAATCAACTGACCCAAGCTAGTAAGAGATCACTGACTCCACACTGTTAACTAGGGAACCAGCATAGGGCTGAACCAGGACCTCTGAATACAGCTGACAGTGGTGTGGCTTGGGCAGTATATGAGACCAAGGTCTAACTATAATCATAAACTGACTTTGCAGAGCCCATTTTCTCTGGAGAGATACCTTGCTCAGCCTAGACAGACATGAGTGGGTGGTGCACTTTGGTCCTGCCTCAACAAGGTGACATCCTAGGGGAGGCCTCACCCTCTCTGAGGCTCAAACGGGAGGTGGAATGGGGCGGGGTTGGGGGAGCATGAGGAGACGAGGGGAAGGGCAACTGGAATTGGAATGTATAAAATAAATTAAAAAGATGATTTTTTTTTAAAAAATTAGTCTGTGCAGAGAAGCATAAAATATGAAAGACTCCTGTTTGGTGTTTTTTATTTATGTTTACAAGTGTTTTGGTGCACCACATGCATGTTTGGTGCCCACGGAGGCAAAAAGGGGGTGTTGCTGTCCCTGGAACTGGAATTACAGGTGGTTGTGAACCACTGTGTAGATACTAGAAACTGAACTGTGGTCCTCTGGAAGAGCAGCCAGTGCTCCTAACCACTGAGGCATTGCTCTAGCTCCAAAGCAGGAATTTACCATTTGTTTTCACTGGTAAAGCAGTTCCTTTGCACTAAATATGGTAACACTCATTTCTTGCCTTATTAAGTTTAGTAGCTTAATTAAGTAGTTGATCAATTACTTTGAAAAAATGAAATATTGCCTTATGCCATCCCTCTTTTATTTTTCACTTTCCCAGTTTTTGATAGGTTTTTGATATGTGTCTATTGGATACTTTTATAATTTATAATAATATATTTAAATGTCTAGACTATATCCTATTAACTTTTTTGCAGGATTTTAATTTTATTCTTCTTCTTCTATGTGTATAAATGTTTTGCCTGCATGTATATCTGTGTACAAATGCATATGTTTTGCACAGAGGTAAGGAAACGGTGTTAGATGCCCTAGAATGGGAATTCCAGAAGGTTATAGACTGCCATGTGAGTACTGGGACCTGAACCCTGGTCCTCTAAAAGAGCAGCAAGTACTCTTAACCTCTGAACTATTTCTCCAGTCCATAGATTAATTTAAAAGGATTTGCAGAGATTAAGCTTAATTTATTGTTAAATTTTTTTCTTTTCTTTTTTCCCCTTTTATTGAAGATAGGTGTTTTTTTTTTTTTGTTTTGTTTTAGTTTTGTTTTGGTTTTTTCAGACAGGGTCTCTCTGTGTAGCTCTGGTTGCCCTGGAGCTTGCTCTGTAAACCAGGCTAGCCTTGAACTCACAGAGAGCCGCCTACCTCTGCCTCCTGAGTGCTGGGATTAAAGGTTTGGCCACCATTGATTGGGAGATTCTTATTTTACGTGCATGCTGGTTACAGTTTCCCTCCCTCTATTCCTCCCAGTTCCTCCCACATACCCTCCTATCTGGATCAATGTCCTTTCTGTCTCTTATTAAAAAAAGGGGGGGAGGGGGCTAAAGAGACAGCTCAGAGGTTAAGAGCACTGGCTGCTCTTCCAGAGGTCCTGAGTTCAATTCCCATCAACCACATGGTGGCTCACAACCATCCATCTGTAATGAGATCTGGTGCCCTCTTCTGGCCCGCAGGCAGAACACTGTATATAATAAATAAATAAATCTTAAAAAAAGAACAGGCTTCTAAAAGACAATAATAAAATATACATGTTCTATTAACTTTATATCATGTAACTCAGTGTTTAAAGATGAGATAATTCCTTTGACATTCTCGTCCAGGTCTCCTGCTTATTCGTGGCAGTCATATCTATTTTCATATTCTAAAGTTTCTGAAACATATTCTTTCATCATAGTTAAGTTTTCTAGGTTCTAGCTATGGATTATTCCTGAAACATGTAATATAACCCATGACATTATTTTTATATAAGAACCAGTTAAAGCAATTGAACTGATAGATAAAAAAATGTAATCTACACTGTCAGCCCTGGGCCATCCCCAAATATGCCTCCAAATCATCAAGCACAATGGATACTCCTCGGTTATTAAAAAATCATGTTTTGTTTTAATTTGCTTTATTGTTAGGTAATGACTTGCTATGATTTTGATTTTTAATTGCTTTCTCCTTTACTCATGCTTTTATTTATTCCCTTAGATTATCCATCCTCTCTCTCTCTCTCTCTCTCTCTCTCTATATATATATATATATATATATATATATATATATATACACACACACACACACCTTTATGCCTCTGCCAGTTATATATTCAAAGCAGTTCTACTCAAAGCCCAAGACTGACTTCTCATGGTCTATAAGCTGATCATAAGAAGCACAGAACAAAGGGCCAAGAGCAACCAAGGATACCAAGCCTGTGTTAGAGATAGGAAAATGTCTCACAGGACCCACATGGCCAGCATATGTTGCAACTGATGTGATAAAGCCCCACAGCCACCTGGAAAAGCAAGCTGGGGACACGTGGTAAAGTTGACACACACAGTTATATAGCAGCTCTCTTCAATGAGTATCAGTACCTATGATATTCTTTTTTAAAAAATTTTATGTGTTCATGAATATGCTGTCTCTAGAGCTATAGACAGTTGTGAGTTGCTGTTTGGGTGCTGGGACCTGAACACAGGTCTTCTGGAAGAGCAGATCTCAGTGATTTTGAGGTTAGCCTGAACTCCATAGTGAGACATTATCATCATCATCATCATAAAGCAATTGCCCTTTTGTTTTTGAATTAAATAAAATATCATTAAATATGTGGGGACTATGAAAATGGCACAGTTGGTATAACATGCCCTGGTTGATGGGTAAGTCTATTTGTTGACATCTCACATGTTGTTCCAGAAGTAGATTTTGAGAAATTTAAAAATGATGTGCTTTATAACACTCAAGCCAAACTACCTTGTTTGACTTCTCTGTACAGATAATGGACTTCCAAAACCAGAACTGATATCCTGGATTGAACTTGGGAGAGAGCTCTTCGGCATCTGGGGAGAAGAGCAGAAACTAGAGAAAGGGCTTTGCTCCTCTATAGATGGTGTGCACTTTCATCTAGTCATTGAGGAACGGTTATTTGAGAGTGAGTATTAAGAACCTAGTGTCAGCCGGGCGTTGGTGGCACACGCCTTAATCCCAGCACTTGGAGGAAGAAAAAAAGAAAAAAAAACATGGTCTTAATCTAAACACATCACATTCAGATTTCTTGTTTTGTTTTTGTTTTTGTTTTTGTTTTTGCTTTTGTTTTTTCCTTCTCTGATCTTTTCTTCCTGTTTGGCGGACCTGAGGCCTTTTAAAGAAAGGCAGTAAAGCATAGTGGTTAGGTCTGTAAACTCTGAAGCCTGAATCTGATCTCCTTTTGCAGGTGACTGTCACAGTTACTTTTCTATTGTTGTGACCAAGACAGCTGATAAAAGAAGGCATTTTCTTAAAGACATTTATTTACTTATTTTATTTATTTATTATGTATATAACATTCTGCTTCCATGTATATCTGTACACCAGAAGAGGGCACCAGGTCTCATAATGGATGGTTGTGAGCCACCATGTGGTTGCTGGGAATTGAACTCAGTCAGTGCTCTTAACCTCTGAGCCATCTCTGCAGCCCCCAAAGAAGGCCTTTAATTGGGGTCTGATGGTTGTAGAGGGCCAGAGTCCATGACCATCAGGACAGGGAGCATGGCAGCCGGCATGGCCCGGGAACAGTGGCTGAGAGCTCACGTCTCATCCACAAGCAGAGGCAGAGAAAGCCAACTGGGAATGGCATGGGCTTTTGAAATCTCAAAGCCCAGGGACACAACTCCTCCAATAAGGCCATACCTCCTAATCCTTGCCAAAAAGTTCTATCACCCGAGGACCACATATAAAAACATGAGTCTTTGGGGCCATTCTCATTCAAACCAGCACAGTGGCTTTGGGTCAGTTGATAGTGTTTAAATTCCTTATGTATAAAATGAAGCAAATCCAAGAACCTACAGTCTAGTGTTAGAAAGGAATAATCTGAACAGTGCTGACGTTCATTAATGGAAGTTGTTCTCACTAGTGGATGGGGAAGAACAAGGCTGAAATTGGCTTTCCTTGTCTTTGTGACCAAAGCAGTCTTTCATCTGTGAGCCCCTAAAATATCGAAAGAGAAGTTACATACTACCAATATACCATGGCACAGTGTAATAATTACTATTCCAGAAATGAAGAATGGGATATAGCAAGAAAATAGAGGACCAAAGCAAGACCCATATCCAGCAGGGCAAACTCTAAACCCTGCAGTTCCATATCTATCATCTGGGGATTATGATAGAATCATCTGGACTCCATTGGCCTGGGGCAGCTCTACCTCTGTAGTACATATGAACTCTCTCTTGGGCCAGCTCCAGTTCGTTCCTGAAATTTTCCTAAGTTGTGGCATCTCTAACATTATTGAGTCTGCGCTATAATCTAGGCTTTACCTTCCTAGCTTCACACAATGACCTGTGGAGACTCCTTGCAGGAAATCTGACTCTGCCACACATTGTCTGACCTCAGTAGCTTTCTAGAACTGTGTGGGGCAAACTTTCATCACCCTTTTATTCTTACATCATTCATGCTGACAAAAACCAGTAACATATGAAGAACACTCAAAAAAAAAAAAAAAAAAAAGAAAAGAAAAGAAAAGAAAAAGAACACTGCCAAGTTCTATTGCCAACTTGAGTTGTAGCCCCTTAGCCCCCCTCCACCACATTGACGACAGCCTCTGTGTGCTGGCCATGTTTCTGTTGGCATTCTGGTCGGCCAAATTCCCAGCAGAATGGCCTATTAAGTTCTTCTTTTGTCATTCTATGGCTTCACTTGTCTGAAACTCCATTCTCTTCCACATTCCTCCCACAAACCAAGTCTGAGGGCCTAAGAACTACGTGGTCAGATTTATCACAGCAATGATCCCAATCCCCAGTGCCAGTTTTCTGTATTTGTTACCTTTCTAATTGTTGTGATTAAATACCTTACAAGAAGCAAGTTAAGAAATGAAGGGTTTATCTTGACTCTTGGTCTGTAGGGTTACAGTCCATCATGTGGGGTGGCTGATCACATTGCACCTATTGTCAGGAAACAGAGACAGGTGAATGCCTGTGCTCAGTTCTTTCTCTCTCTTTCATATTATTCAGTCTGGGATCCCACCCCATGAAATCATGCCATTCATATTTAGGGTGATCCTTCCTTAGTTAAATCTTGCAGAAATCCCCCACATATATCCAGAGGTATTTCAATGGTGATTCTAAACCAGTCAAATTGACAATAAAGAGTCACCATCACAAACAGGGACAAAGAACCACAAAAATAGCATGTGTCTGTGGTAAATGTTAGGGTTATGTTAGGTTCTCATTGCTGCTGTTACATTCTGATTCTAAGACGTTCGATGTTCCTGTGGTTCTAATACTGGTCAACAGTTATGAAAGATACAATATGTCAGGCACCATATTAACTAATTTACAACCCTCTTTATGTATTTTTTCCTGTTTTTATTTATGTATTTTATGTATATGGATGTTTTGTTTGCATACCAGAAGAGGGCATCAGGGCCTATGGAACTCTAGCTATAGATAGTTGTGAGCCCCCATGTGGGTGCTGGAAATTGAACTCAAGACCTCTAGAAGAGCAGTCAGTGCTCTTAACCACTAAGCCATCTCTCCAGTCCCATATATATGTGTGTGTGTGTGTGTGTTCTGTTTTTATTTTATTAGGCATGGTGGTGGATGCCTTTAATCCCAGCACTTGAGAGACAGAGACAGGCAAATCTCTCTGATTTTGAATCCAGCCAACACTACATAGCAAGTTCCAGGTTAGCCTGGGCTACATAGAAATACCATGTCTCAAAAAGAAATCAATCATTTATTGTATTATTTATTGTATTGTATTATGGTATGTATGACTGTCTGAGTTTATGTGCTTTGTGTGCATGCAGTGCTCATGGAGGCCAGAAGATGGAGTTGAATCCCCTGGAACTGGAACTATCATGTGGGTCCTGGAAACAGAACCTGGGCCCTCTGCAAGAGCAGTCAGCATTCTTAAACCACCTATCCATCTCTTCTGCCCTGTTTCTTTATCCTGTTTTTACAGGATAAAGAGCCCCAAACCAGAAGCAATCAGCTTGGCAAGGTTCTCACTGTGGGCAGATGGGGGTTCATACCTATGCTCTTCGTTTCCAGGCCTTAGATCCCACCTTTGAGACTTATATTTTCATTTTCTCACTTTAGTCATAGCCTAGACCTGCTCAGTTTAGTTTCTGAAAATCGTTACCGTGAAAATCATTACCGAACTCGTTTTGGTCATGAAGTAGAATCACGTATTCATGTTTTGTGGTTTAGTGGGAGCAGGGTGCTCCAACCACCACAGGCTGACTGTTCCATGGATTACTTTACTGGTAATGACTTTCAGTCATACCACAGACAAAACATAGACTGAATTCTTGTTTTCATTTCCAGGTAGCCAGCAAGCTGTGAAATCAAGAGAAACCACATGCCACCCCCAGTTAAACCCTCCTGAGAGTCAGCATTCCTTTGGACTTATTTTAGGAGAAAAGGAAGAAGTTTCCTTCAGGCATGACCAAGGCGTTGATCTTGTAAATGCACAGACACGCAGCCTTGGGGCTCTAGTTTCAACCATGCACAGTTCCAATGCGGCTGCCCAAAGAGAAGGACTCATGAGTCATAGAACTCCGGATCTCCCTGGCTTACAAAAAGTCCCCTCTTGGCAGAGTACCCAACACTCCTGTCCTGTCTGTGGGGAAAACTCTTGGGAGAAGAATCACGTAGTGAAGCACCAAAAGGGCCACCCCAAGAGCCCATCATGTAGGGTTTGGAAGAAGCTCAGCAAGCAGACTGATGCACAACAGCAGAGGCACTGCTCATGTCCTGAATGTGGGAGGAGCTTCTGCCTCGAGCAATATTGGGTGGGACATCTAGATGCTCATACCAGGAAGACCCCACCTCAGTGCGCTACGTGCAATGTGTACTTGAACCGTGAACATACCCTTTTCAGCCATCATCTCAAGCACAATTCTTCCCAGCACCCCAAATGTGACAAGAACTTCCCAATGGATAGTAATGTTCACCAATGCCAGCAGAGCCAAGAGAGGCCAGCCTCCTCGAGGGAAGACACCATTGTGCCCTCGAGACAAAAGCCAGATCCCAGCCTGGACTATGAGGGCTGCTGCCACAAGGGTAGCAAGCCGAAGGCCCTGCAGTGTGGCTGCTGTCTAGGGAAGGACAAACCCTGCTCATGCACAGAATATGGTACTTGCTTCCTCTCACAGTCTAAGCAGGCCAGCCTCTTCAGGGCACACAAAGGAGAAAAATCCTTTCAGTGTCCAGACAGCAACAAGTGTCTCTGCCTTAGAGACCTGCAGAATGTCCACCGGCATGTGCATAGCGAGGAAAGACCCTTCTCCCGTAGAAAGTGTGATCAGGGCTTCACCAAACATTGCAGACTCACAGAACTCACCCAAGACCTCAGCCAGGTGAAATCTTTCTGGTGTGCCCAATGTGAAAGGAACTTTAGCCAAAAGGAACAGTTGCTCAGGCACCAGCAGCTTCACCCAGAGGAAAAGCCCTTTCAATGCACAATGTGTAAGTTATGCTTCTGTTTGAAAACCAGGTTGAGAGCCCACCAACTGCAACATGGTGGAGAAAGGCCATTCTCCTGTAGTGAGTGTGGCCGAGCCTTCACCCATCAGTGCAAGCTCCGTGAGCATCTCAGAGTACACAGTGGAGAGAGGCCCTTTCAGTGTCCTGAGTGCCACAAGAGCTTCCGCTTGAAGGGCATCTTGAAGGCCCACCAGCGCACTCACAGCAAGGAGAGGCCATTCTCTTGTGGGGAGTGTGGCAAGGGCTTTACTAGACAGTCTAAGCTCACAGAGCACCTCCGTGTCCACAGTGGAGAGAGGCCCTTCCAGTGTCTAGAGTGTGACAGGAGTTTTCGCCTAAAGGGGCAGCTGCTTAGTCATCAGCGCCTACACACGGGAGAGAGACCCTTCCAGTGCCCAGAGTGTGGCAAGAGCTATCGTGTGAAGGCTGACATGAAGACACACCGGCTGCTGCACAGCGGGCAGATGCCGTTCTCCTGCCAGTGTGGGAAGGGCTTTGTCAAACAGTCTAAACTTCTGGAACACATGAGGACACACACAGGGGAGAAGCCTTTTCAGTGTCCCAAGTGTGACAAGAGTTTCCGATTGAAGGCTCAGCTGCTCAGCCATCAGGGCCTGCATACAGGCGAGAGACCTTTCCACTGCCCTGAATGTGATAAAAACTTCCGGGAAAGGGGTCACATGCTGAGGCACCAGCGCATCCACAGGCCCGAGAGGCCCTTTGCCTGTGGAGACTGTGGGAAAGGTTTTATTTATAAGTCCAAACTAGCTGAGCACATTAGAGTACACACAAAATCTTGCCAGGTTCCACATGAGCCTGGCATTAAGAAAAGGCTTGTCCAGCTGTTTGCAATGATAGAGGCTGACTGGAGTTGAGGGGGGGGGGGGGGGGCGGACATCAAAGCTGTGAGCAGAGCTTAGTTGTCAGGGTAGTCTGAAGAATGGTGGCTAAACCCACCGGCAAGCAGGGTTTAGGAAAAGGCGCTCTACATTGTTCAAAAAATAATACAAATTAAAAATGGGGAACTATGAAGAATTTTTTTTTGAAATACCACCAATTATCTTTTCTCTCCCTTGGTAAAAAGAAATATTTGTTCTTCCTACTGATTTGAGTGCTTTTCATCCAAATGCAATTAGTCCAAAAGTTCCGTCTTACACCAGAAGGGAATCTCTCCAGTACCACTGTCAAAGCTAAAAAGGGGAAGTCTGTTTAATATCAAATCTACTCTTTCGTTCTTTTCAGACTATGGTTCTAAATGGTTAAATGCAACAAATTTTATTTCTGTTATGATACACTTTTAGATTTGCTTTGGATTCATTTATTTTGAAACTGATAGCAGTAAGATGGTTTCTCTGAATTTCCCGTGAATGCTGAAGTTTCTCACAGGGTGCCTGGTGATTACTGAGTCGAAGAAACAAAAAAAGGTGTTGAGAGGTTTGGATACAGATCAGGGGTTAAATCGGTGGATAGAGATTTGAGAGTTCAGAGTGGAGATGCTATTTGGAACAAAAGTGAGATTCTCAAGAATGAATGAGTATTTAAGCAACTTATTAAAGTATACACAGAACACAAAACAGATATCATGATATAGGAATGACTTACACTCTCAAATCTTTTAAAACTATAGAGATCAGAAAGGGAATTTTTTTTTTTTAATTTCAAACTCTAATGTTATAGAGTGTGGCCGCCCACTAAGTCCGAGTATCGGACAAAAGCCTGGAGATTTGGATAAAGACAAGACACCTGGTCCTTTTCTGAGAGAATGTCTCTCACCTTTATTGTGGAGCACCCTTATATACAAACTTACAAAAACCCCAGGTGAAAGGTTCACAACAGATATTGATGCTAGCGGGGGTGAGGTCAGGAAAACAGGAGGTACCTGGGATTATGCTGGAAAACAATACTTAGAGACCCCGTGGGGGCTGGGTCCCAACAATAGAAAAGGAATCAAAAGCCACTATAAAGTCCCCCAGAGCCTCAGGCTCAGTTGGTGACTGTGTTGAGGTTCCCCCATCCTACCTGCCCAACAGATCCTATGTAGTCCTGGCTAGCCTGAGATTCACTATGTAGACCAGTCTGGCCTCAACTCATATACATCTACTGCCTCTGTCCCTCATGGGATTAAAGGCGTGGGCTACCATGTAGAGCTCACTGGACTTTTTAGAGATCTCATTCCAGGGCAGGGATTTCTTGCACTGTACTTAATTGAAAATCTAGAAATTTATGTGATGTTTTGTGGATAGTAAATACCTCAAACCAAACCAAACCCCACTACCTAACTAGTTAATTACAGAAGGAGAGGTTTTTTTGTTTTTGTTTTTGTTTTTTGTTTTTCAAATACAAAAGAATAGTACAGGGGAGAAAAGAATGGACACAACCAAATACTCAATGTGAAATCACAGGCACAGTTACCAGCAGCATCTCGTATGAGACCAAAAGGTGGGTAAGAGAAAATCTTGAGATAAGGAAGATAAGTCAGTGATTAATGAATTGTGATTTGGGATACAAAGAGAAGGTTTAGGGACAAAATGGAAACTTCTGTCCGCTTGAATGCAATTCCTTGCCTCACTCTTCATCAAGACAGGTTTTTGTTATTGTTTGTTTGTGGGATTTTTTTTTTTCTGAGACAGGGTTTCTCTGTGTAGCTTGGTAGACCAGGCTGGCCTCAAACTCACACAGATCTGCCTGCCTCTGCCTCCCAAGTGCTGGGACTAAAGGTGTGGGCCACCACCGCCCAGCTGTTCCTTTTTTTAAAATTAATTTATGTGTATGGGTGTTTTACCTGCATGTATGTCTGTGTACCATGTGCATGAATGGTGCCCACAGAGGCCAGAATAGGGTGTGTAGTATGCTCTGGATCTGGAGTTATGGACTTCTGTGAGCTGTCATGTGGGTGCAGGGATTCAAACCCAGGTCCTCTACAAGAACAGCAAGTGTTCTTAACTGGTGAGCCATTTCTCCGGTCCTCTTTATTGGCTTAATATTTACTTATTTTTCTGTATGTGTTTGTGTATGAGGGCCAGTGCATGTGCCGTGGTGCTTGTGTAGTGTTTAGGGGACAACCGTTTGTGTCCATCCTATTTTTCTACCTTGTTTAGGAAGGGCTTATTTTTGTTTGTCTCTGTGCTGGTTACTCCAAGTGAGTAGTCCCTTGAGCTTTAGGGTTGACCTATCTCTGCCTTGTACCTCACAATGGAAATGCTGGGATTACAGACATGTACCATGGTGTCCAGCATTTTTAAAAAATAAATCTAAAAGTTATTACATTTGTTTTGTGTGGGGAGGGCTGCATGTATATGCTTATCTGTTTTGTTTTTGTTTTTGTTTTTTTTGTTTTTGTTTTGAGACAAGGCATTATTGTCCAGCTTGACCTTGAATTCCTGGGCTAAATCAATCTGCTTTGTCTCCAGAGTGGCTGACACTCCAGGCACATGTCATCATGGGCAGGTAAAGGAAACTGTTTCTGAAAATAAATTCATTTCTTTAGGCTTCATCTGTTTCCCTTTCTACTGAAAAGAATCTCATCAGCATTTTTTAAAAAGAGTGGAACCATGGTTGAGTTCTTCAGGAAATACAAGAAACTTGTCATCTCCTGTGTCATAACCCTCATGAGTTCAGAGCACATAGGCTGTGTGCCTGTCTGGTCTGAACTTCTAATGGTGTACATGCATGCCAGAACTGTCACAGATTCATCTGCAGATAGGCAATATAGATGGTAAGGACTCTCCCAATTGGCTACTTCTCTAGAGAGTTCTGTAGGAGCAGAGGAAAATACACATTGAAATTGGCCTAGGAAACTAGCCTAATAATGTTACAATGACAACCCAGGAGAGTAGTCATATATATAGCTCACTTTCTCCTCTTGTATATGTAAGAAAATACTGCTGGACATGCATTTTATTTATTTAGCCTTGGTGGTCTTCTATATCGCTTCAGAGCTATTGAACCACAAGTGTTAACCCTAATAGCAGCACAAGCTTCTTCTCCAAAACAGTCACTGTTATCTCTAGATCTAAACCACTAGATTGGTTATCTATTTTTTTTATTTTTATTTTTTTATTTTTATTTTTTGGTTTTTTCGAGACAGGGTTTCTCTGTGGCTTTGGAGGCTGTCCTGGAACTAGCTCTTGTAGACCAGGCTGGTCTCGAAATCACAGAGATCCACCTGCCTCTGCCTCCCGAGTGCTGGGATTAAAGGCATGAGCCACCAACGCCCGGCTTATCTATTTTTTTTTAAAAAAAGAAAATCATAACACTAAGTCATGGAGTCCCAGTTCTGATCTCTCTCTCTCTCTCTCTCTCTCTCTCTCTCTCTCTTCTCTCTCTCTCTAAGATCTCACTAGAAGTCATGAGTCTCTGCCTCCAGAGGCGTGGTTCACCACTCAGCTTTGAATTAATTTACTTCATATTCTTCTCTCCCAACCTAATACACAGGAAAGAAACTCAAACTTTAATATGCTCAAACAGAAAAACCAAGAAGCCAAAGAACACGAGAACAGAGGTAGGGGCCCCGAACTCTCCTTTTTCCACTTTAGTTTCCAGTCTTCGCGGACAAGGGCAGGCGGGACCCTAGGAGACTTAGACTTGCACCCCACCATCCCCCTGAGTTACTTACACGTGTTCTTCCTGTCTAGCTTGGCCGAAGGGAGCGGACCTCCCACCCCTCCCCTCCCCTAGGAGGGCCCAAGCCCCGCTCCCCAGGCAGGGCTGGTCGCCTTTGTTCTGCGCGCACTCCTTCTAGGCCTGTGCGCTCCCGGCAAACCGAGTGGCAGCCGGTGATTGGTGGTCGCGGCGCAGCCAATCAGAAGGGGGCACCTCATGCTAGGGCTTGGAGGTTTAAACGCCGAGCTGCCAGGCGCGCCGACGCACTGAGCTTAGGCAGCGGGGCGAGCGGGCGAGTGGGCGAGCAGGCGAGCGGAGGGCGTCACGGCTCTGGTTCCATTTCGCGCGGGGATTGGCTGGCCCGTGGCTTCCTCCCCCCTAGCCAATCAGCGGGCAGAACTTCCTGGAGGTTTTGCTCCACTCGGCGTTGCTCGGGAGGTCGGTGAGAGCTCGGCGTTGGCTGGTGCCTGCAGGCCCCGCTCCGCACCCCACCATGAAGCTCCGGAAAGCCTGGCTGCTGGTCCTGCTCTTGGCGCTGACACAGCTGCTGGCTGCAGCGAGCGCCACAGACGCGCACGAAGGTGAGCGGGTGGGCGGGCCGGAGCTGGCTCGGAGCAGGTAGCGTGGGTTGCAACCCTTGTAGGGGCCTGACAGGGTGGTACACACACACACACACAGACACACACACACACACACACACACACACTCGCGCACACACACACACACACGTCCGCACACACACACACACACACACACACACACACACACACACACGTAAATATACACACACACACACACACTCGCGCGCACACACACTCACACACACACTCGCACACACGCACACACAGACACACAGACACACACAGGGTGGTTCACACACACACTCACACACACACACAGGGTGGTTCACACACACACTCACACACACACACAGGGTGGTTCACACAGACACACACACACTCACACACACACAGACACACACACACACACTCGCGCGCGCGCACACACACACACACTCGCGCGCACACACACTCACACACACACACACGCACACACACACAGACACACACACACACTCTCACACACACACTCACACTCACACTCACACACACACCCTTGCGAGATGAGCGACTCGGTCGCAGCAAACTTGCTGGAGTTTCAGTGCGGCACCCAGTCAAGGGGCTTGGCCCTCATGAGTTCCTACTCGTGACTAAGACGGGGAAGGACGTGCAGAGTGCCTGATTTGCAGCTTCACCCTCGCTGGTGAGTAAAATTTCCTGGAGAATACTCCCATGGAGGGAGGTCAGACGCTGTTTCCAAAGCCGTTCTAGAAACGGCACGTAGGCGGGAGAGTCACTGGGAGGACCTGTACGGTGCAGTCGCAGACATCGGGCATTTCCTTCAAAAAGTGGGATTTGGAAATAACGCAAGCTTTGTTTTCGTCTTTCATGGAAACGGGAGCCACCGTTCCTTCTAAAAACTTGTTCGGCGCCTGTTTGCATGTACTCTAGTAGGAGGAGTGTATGTAACTTACAGACCCCACCTTTTCTTCCAACTCCTGTAGCAGAAAACAGGAGAACTTTGAAATTAGGAAGTACTAGTTAAAATCGCTGTTCCTAGAGAGCAGATCTGATCGACACCTTTGTCCTCCTTCCCACTAGCTTGTTTCCTGCTGGGTTTATTCTAATACAAACAAACCCCATTTTCTAAGATTAGTGTATGTGGAGAATGTGAACTTTATACTCATGATCCGTGTGGATTCATGAGTCTTTGCTCAGTCAGAAAAGAGCAGAAATGAAAAGGCTGCTTTTTTTTTGGGGGGGGGGAGCCAAGTACCTGTCCTGCCTGCAAGAATATCTTGGCACTTTTATTCAAATCTGATGAGTGCTCCTTTGGTATAGAGACCCAAAATACACAGAACCAGGAAGAGGGCAGACTGCATTTTAAGCAAAATTTTCACTTTTCATGGCAGAATAGACTTGGGGGGATTGCACCTTAAAGTTTGAGAATCAGTGTGATTTGGTGGGTACTTTTAGAACATAGCTAAAAAAAAAAAAAACACTTGTTTTTTTTTTTTTTTTTTTTTGAGACAGTAGTCTGTTTTAGGATGATTTTTGCTTGAAACAGGGTCTCATTATATGGCTTGGAGCTCAAGACTGGCCTTGAACTCAAGAGATCTGCCTGCCTCTGCCTCCAAGTGCTGGCGTTAAAATTCCATGCAGTGTGGATTCTTGAGAGGCCTGGGTGAATGGATTTCAAAGACTGTTTAGACTAGCCAGTGTTGTATCTTTTCGGTCATTGGTGTAGTTCCTGGGAAACAGTTTGCTCCTGGTGAACTCTGGAATCCCTGGGGTGTCTGGGCCAAGGACAGTCCTCCTGGGCTAGGTCCTCAGGTTTGGTAGGGCTTCAGTGATATATTGTTACTTATCTGATATGTACAAGGTATTGGATTCCACCCCCAGCACTGCAAAGGAGGGAGAGAATTCAGTTCCACTCACTGGTGTGTGGTCCATACTAAGTGTCATCTGTAACGATCCATCATTAATTACCTTTTTGTTGTTGTTGTTCACTGTTTACTGTTTGATGTTGGCCTAAAGGTTGTTTGTCCAGCTGATAGTAGCTCCTCCTTGGCAAGGTGGAGTGTGGCCACTGAAGAAGTGGGCATCCTTACAGTAAGTTATTGCCGGTACTTGGCCTGGTCAGGATACAGTGTTATCTTTAGGTTTGTTCAGTGGATTTCAGTAACCTTGTAGGTTTCCCACCTTGCAGGAGTCTCCAGCCTTACCTTGTGGGCTAACTAATGTCAAGGGGATGTGGAATGTTTCATGCCAAGGAAGACTGCACCCTTTCGGAAGGTGCTGGGACGTTTTGGATCTATTTTCTAGGCTAGTATGTCAGACTTTAAAAGTGAAATCCAATCTAGAGTTGTAGCTGAGTTTGTGGAGTGCTTGAATAGTGGGTGTCATGAAGCTCCTGAATCCAACCCCTAGTCCCACTTAAAATAAGCATGGTGGCACACACTTGTATCTCAGCCCTCCAGAGTTGGAGACAAATTAGTTCAAGGCCAACTTCTGCCGCATATGAAGTTCAAAGAGAGCCTTGGATACTTGAGATTCTCTAAGGAAAAGTGAAGCCTAGTGAGAAGTAATTGGTACAGTAAGACATGGGGTGGTTAGCTTGCAGGAATGTGTTGGTTTCTGATAGACAGGATTAAAAAACTGTTGATTGAAAATGCAATTCTGTGGGATAGCACTTACCTCAAATGTACAAGGCCCTGCCTGAGTTTGATCTCTGTCATAGCAAAAACAACAAAAAAGACTAATAGAGCTAGCCCCCTTCTCAAATTGCAGAGGAATCAACCTTTTAGCTTTCTGAATTGGGGGCAGGGTTGAAAAGATGAAGTGCTTTTAACCACTAAACTGTTGGTCCAGCTCCTAAAACCATCTTTTTAATTGTTGTATTTATTTATATATCTATTTGGTATTTTGAGCCAGGTTTCTCTGTGTAACAGCTCTGGCTGTCCTGGACCTCGATTTCTAGACCAGGCTGGCCTTGAACTCACAGCGCTGGGATTAAAGGTGTGCACCACCATCATCCATATTTATTTTGTAAATTTTTTGTGTTTGGGTATTTTGCCTGTCTGTATGTCTGTGCACCATGTGTGTTCAGTGCCTGCAGAGGCCAGAAGAGGGAGCTGGAACCCCTGGAACTAGAGTAAAACAGTTGTGAGCCACTATATCATTGCTGGGAATTGAATCCTAGACCTTCCAGTGTTCTTAACCTTCCTCTGGAATGTTTAATCAGGAGAGGTCCCCTGCTAGTAGTGGTGATGAGAGCCCACTTTGGGCTAAGCATAGGCAAAAAGTCCCCTGGGTTTAAGGAGTTGGGCCACAGAAAGGCTGTTTCAGAAAAAGAGAAAAGTCTTTGTATTACTTTTTCTTCATTTTTAAAATTCACTCTGAGGGCTGGAGAGATGGCTCAGCATTTAAGAATGTGTTCTGTTCCTCCAGAAGACCTGAGTTTGATTCCCAACATCCAACATTAGGTAGCTCACAAACACCTGAGCTCTAGCTCTGGGACAGCCTTTGGATACCTGCACTCATGGGCACATACTTAACACATAATTTTAAAAATAAAAAATAAGCAACTTGGTTATAGTTTTAAAATTTTAATCTGAGATAATCAAGCATGCAGCTGTGTTTTAAGTATTTTCTTTTTTTAAATTCTGATTTTTCTTTTAAACAAGTATTTATTTATTTTGTTTGTTTGTTTTTTGTTTTGTTTTGAGGCAGGGCTTCTCTGTGTAGCCTCAGACTCAAAGATCAGCCATGTTTCCTAGCTTGAAGAGTGGACCAAATTCCCTAATGCTTTCTTTCTGGTCCCTGAGTGGAGCAAGTACCCTGCAGCCAGAATGAATATGGTTAACCACAAACCCTGCTTAACTTCAGCCTCCTTAATACACAGAGGAGATGCCTACCAGGCATCTACTGGAGCAGAGAGAAACTACAGTTCATCCTTGCATCCAGCAGATCACTTAGGGAGTGGGAAGTATCGGTCTGCCTTTTAAAAAGTCACTGACTAGTGGGCCATTTGTGTAGCATACTTGAAGTCCTAGCATTGGCCAGTAAGTGCTTTCCCTGTTAGGTTGTTGTAGGCAGAGCTCTTGAAGTACCAGCAGCATTGGGCTTGGTGAACTTAGTGTTAAATATTGAGGGTCCCAAAGGATTGGTGGCTGTGATTCAGGAACACCAGTACATATGGTGTGGACTGTCAGTCACAGTTGGGAGTGGATTCAGCCTGATGTGAGTATAAGGGAATAAACCACCATACTCAAGCAGGGACCCATAGTCTCTCCACTCTGCTCTTCCTGGGTACCTGAGAATCTGTCCCCTTGGTTCTTCCCTATCCTTAACACCTGTTTTAATGGTGCCCAGAAGGAGGAAGAAATGGGCAAGAGAAGCACAAGCCAGCTTGGTTTCTACTCTGAAAATGGGCATTTTAGAGCTATTTCTCTTACCTCTAACAAAGGAAGAATGTAGGCCCAAATTGCAGGAGAGGGTTTGCAAGGCAGGAAAAGGTAGTATGGAGTTGTAGAAAAGTGAGTAAAATGTGACTAATAGATGAAATGAAGGTAGAGTTCTTATAATCATTTTACACATTGGTAAATTTCATTGATAATGATCAAAGCTGACCCCACAACTCCAGAGCTTCAGAGTTGTGGAAAAGCGTTATGATGGGTATGTGGGCGTAACACAGGGTCCCCTTGTACCCACAATTATAGAGCCAACATTGAATTACTTAATATATTCCACAAATCTCGGGGTTCCCAGGATCGGGGAACGGGTTTCAAGCCTTGAGTACACTCACAGTTCCAAACAGTAACTAGCAGTTTTCTTGACTGAGCTTCTGAAAAAAATAATTGGCCCTTTGACACATTGTGGCTTTAGAGTGAAAGGAATAGTGTACTTGCTGAATATAGATCTGTTTACTGCCATTTCAGTCGGTATAGAAACTAGTTAATGAGAACTGGAGTTCTGTGCTTTCTTGTATCCTCAGTTTAGAAACAACAAGAACAGCTTGAAGTTAACAGCACAGCTGGGTGGTGGTGGCTGCGGCAGTGAAAGCAATACACACCTTTCATCCCAGAACTTGGGAGGCAGAGGCAGGCGATCTCTGAGTTTGAGGCCAGCCTGGTTATAGGAACTAGCTCCTTTTAGTGTATATTTAATGCACATTGGTTCCATAAGTCAGTAAAGTTGTCATTGTCTCAACATCTCTTTCTGTATTACTCAGAGTTGCTTTTCTAAGAAAAGCAAGATATCTCTGTCTTCTTCCCCTTTGGCCTTCTCCTAAAGAATCAGACCTATGGGCTATTTTTAAAGAATATGAGGTAAAATATAGCTTTTTCAGAAGTAGAACTTAGGTACTTACAGAGAGAATCTTGTGTTTTTGCAAATTTAGGGGGAATAGGCAGGTAAAGTATCACTGGGGAAGGTTTACTGAGGTCCTGGAAAACAGAAGGACAGTGGGCTTTGAGTCCATGGCATGCCAATCCTACATGAATGTCCTCGGACATTTGGATTATATGGAATTCAAAGTGGCCATACAGTATGCAGACATGGAACAGAATGTCTAGGGTAAGGAAATTACACACACACACACACACACACACACACACACACACACACACACACACACACCCGTGCCCCTTGACTTGTTTTTTGAGATTTGGGCTTCTAGCAAAGTTGTGGAAGAGTTGTGAGTTTCCTAACCAGCATGGATATTTTCTGGTCAGATGCTTCAGACACAGAAAATGCCATTGAGGATGAAGAGGAGGAGGAGGAAGATGAAGAGGAAGATGACTTGGAAGTTAAGGAAGAAAATGGTGTTTTGGTCTTAAATGATGCAAACTTTGATAACTTTGTTGCTGACAAAGATACAGTGCTACTGGAGTTCTATGCACCATGGTAAGCACCAGCATTTGGCTCTTACAGCTGGACATCCTATGTTATGCTTGGCCTCAGTCATCCAGGGGCATGGTTGAAATGAAGGGTCTGATTGCAATAGTCCCAACTCTTTCCTTTTTTCTAATGCTTTACAGCTTGCAGGAGTCATTTCTCCTACCATCATGGGTCCAGGGGATAGAACTCAGATCATCAGACTTGGTAGCAAGTGACTTGACCTGCTGTGCCATCCCACCAGCCCTAGAACTCCAACTGTTGATGTCAGAGTGTTGGGAACTAGAGCTTGGTCCTTCATCCAGCTGGCATCCGGTAGCCTTACATAGGATGGCAGTCTCAGTTTCCAAACAGGCTGGCAAGGCAGCCCCAGGTGCAAGCTGTTGATCATGGGGTTATTTTCTTGTTTTGTTTTTGTTCTCCTGTACAGAGCTTTGGGGAAACAATACAAATTCTTTTCCTGTTTTGCCCCTTATGATTTAGTGTGTGGAAACTGTTGTATCCCCCACACTTCTCTTGTCCTGTTTTGCATTTCATAGCCCCTTCTGTTCTTTTCTCTTCCTCCTGTGATCTCTCTGTTTCACTTCTGAGGTGGTAAGATGTTGGTTTCTCTGTGTAGCCTTGGCTGTCCTGGAACTTACTCTGTAGACCAGCCTGGCCTCAACTCGAAGAGATCCGCCTACCTCTGCCTCTGGAGTGCTGGGATTAAAGGCGTGTGCCACCACCGCCCGGCCCGTATTTATTATTATAAAATGTGTGAGAGTATAGTGTACATGTACCATATAAAGTGTGTATAGCAGATAGGACAACTTTGGGGGTCAGTTTTCACCTATCTCAGGATCTGACTGAGATCATCAGGCTTGCACAACAAGCTCTTTTACACACTAAGCCATCTTGACAACTCTGCAAAAAAGATGCTTATTAGTTCATTTTTAGCAACTTTCTTTTTGTGATTCCGGGAATTTAACTCAGAGCCTTGAGCATGTTAGACAAGTGCTTTACCACTGAGCTGTACTTCCAAACCTAGTAGTTCATTTCATTATTATTATTTAAAGATTTATTTATTTTGTGTATATGGATGTTTTACCTTCGTGTACATTTGCACACCAGAAAAGAGCAACAGATCTCACGGGGCTACAGTTTTATAGACAGTTGTGAGCCTCCATGGTGGGTGCTGGAAATTGAACTCAGGACCTCTGGAAGAACAACCAGCGTTCTTCACCTCTGAACTATCTCTCCTGCCCAGTAGTAGTTCATTTTCAAATAACAGTAACCTTTTACATGTTAACAGACTGCTAATGTCTTTGTAAGTCGGGAAGCATCTGGAAAATTCCATCGTGTATTCAGATTGAATGTAAAAGATTTTCTATGTGAAAAAGCTAACCTCATAGACAGACACCATAAAGAAAGTCAGTGAGCCAAACTTTGAGATAGAGTTGCACATTAATCCAACTTTCCCTGTCCCCTGTAAACAACAAAATATATAGATGCTTAAATTCCTTTCATAAAATGCACTGTTACCACATATGACTTGTCTATATCTTCTCATATTCTTTAAATCATTTCTGGATTATTATCTAGCTCAACTTGTTTCTTAAATAGTTACACTGCTCTAATTAAGGAATAATGATAAGAAAGTCAAAATCTGCACAGATGCTGTAGTTTTTCTCTGTGCTAGAGATCAAATGTGGGGCCTTGCACACCAGGCAGGCACTCTACCACTTGAGCTACAGTTACAGTTCTCATTTAATTTTGAACCATTCTGTGGATAGTTTTGATCCATTCTGTGAACAATTTTGATTCATTCTGTGAATATGGGTCTTATGGACATGGAGGATCAAGTGTAAATGGAAACAATCATTTAGGTTTAGAGTTGAAAGTATTTGCCTAAGGCTAAAGCTAGCATTCACAGCTCCTGTGGTATGTCTCAACCACAAGTCTTTCCATAAAGCCTCCACTTTTTAAATGTCTTGTTGTATTTCAATTCTGTGGATACCAGTAATTCTTTTCTTCTTCCTTAAAATTTCTAGGTGTGGACATTGCAAGCAGTTTGCTCCAGAATATGAGAAAATTGCCAGCACTTTGAAGGATAATGACCCTCCCATTGCTGTTGCTAAGATTGATGCAACCTCAGCATCCATGCTGGCCAGTAGATTTGATGTGAGTGGTTATCCCACCATCAAGATCCTGAAGAAGGGACAGGCTGTTGACTATGAGGGCTCCAGGACCCAGGAAGGTGAGTGCCAGGACATAAGGACACACAGTTAAAAGAAAACACATGCATATGTGCTCTCTCTCTCTCTCTCTGTTACACATACGCACACTGTTAGTCTTTTGTTTAAAAAGAAGAAAAGAGAAATGCTGAGACATGAGACATATTGACTATAAGTTTATTATAAGGCCCGGCAGAATGGGGAGACTAAGAGGAGGAACAGGGTAACGGCTGACCACCATGGCCGGTTGCCATACAGAGAAGAGAAGAAACAGAGAGTAACAGAGAAGAGAAGCAGGAGAAGAGAGTGAAAGCAGAGTTAGTTGGAGCTTTACAGGGAAGACTGTGCATGCGCACTGAGGTTCCACGCATGCCCTGACTTGTCAGGGGGCAGGGTCTGTCTCTTAAAGAGGTAGAGCCAATCACCTTTCACACACTGCTGTCACACACACATTCCTCTCACACTCCTCTCTCTGTCTTACACACACACACACACACACACACACACACACACACACACACACTCCTCTCTCTCTCTCTCACACACACACACACACACCTCTCTCACAAACACCTCTCTCTCTCTCTCAAGCACACACGATTGCCTTTAGCCAAAAACATGCTTCCTTTCATCCTTTAAAAACATACATCAGATGCTGCTAGAAAGAATGTTAAATAGGTCTAGATCTTTATAGCCATGAAATAAACACATGACCTAGACAGGCCCCTTCTGTATAATTTTTGTTTTGAGACAAGATCTCTTTAATTCAAGCTTCTGTCTGAGCCTTTGGATCACTAGCATTGTAAGTATAAGCTGCCATGTCTAACTTCCTTTCTGCAGAGAAATGGCTCTTCCACTGATGCAGAGTGTGTTTGTCTGATGATTAGGTAGTGTTTATTTGCCTCATAATGTGAAGTGTTTGATTAATGAAGAGTCTGTATTCCCTCAACCTGGGTGATGGAACTTCCTTTTATGAAAAGGAAATAAATTGGTTTAGTAAATTGCTTCTGTAGTCTGCAATGATATTTTTACCCCCACCTCCCAAAGCAAATATTTTTGCGTGAGTATAAGAATAATTTGTCTCATTTTTACACAACTGTTAGAGTATCTTTTTACTTATTTATTTTCCACTTCTGAGAAATGAAGTCACAAGTAGGTATTATCATATATATATATATTTAAAGATTTTATTTATTTATTTATTATGTATGCAACATTCTGCTTCCATGTATATCTGCACACCAGAAGACGGCACCAGATCTCATTACAGATGGTTGTGAGCCACCATGTGGTTGCTGGGAATTGAACTCAGGACCTCTGGAAGAGCAGTCAGTGTTCTTAACCTCTGAGCCATCTCTCCAGCCCCTTACCTATATTTTTAATTAAAATTTGTATTACATGTATTTGTGTGCATGTGTGATTATGGGCATGCAATGGTGTATATATGGAGACTGAAGACAACTTGTAGCGTTTGGTTCTCTCCTGCCATATATATGGGTCTTAAGGATTGATCTCATGTCTTCAGGTTTGGTAGCAAGTGCCTTAGATTTCGAGTTGTCTAACTAGGCTCTAGGCATGCATTTATAGTCACTTTCCAGATGATTCTGCTGCTGCCTGTGTGGTAGGAGCTTCTGCTCTTCTTTTGAAATTTCCTAGATTTTTTTGGCCCACATTTCATGATGCCTGTGATGCTTGTGCTATATACGGTTGAACACATACACAGTTTATATGTGTTGCAAGATTGATTAATAGCCATCTGTCTTAGTCACTGTTCTGTTGCCGTGAAGAGACATCCTGGTCAAGGCCACTCTTAGAAAGCATTTCATTGGGGGCTCACTTGTGGTTTCAGAAGTTTAGTCCATTATGATCATGGTGAGGAGGGTGGTGCCTGATCCGTAGGCAGAGTGAGACTGGGCCTGGCATGGGCTTTTAAGCCCACAAAGCCCACCCCCAATGACACCTCAGCCAATAAGTCCACCCCCAATGACACTTCGTCCAATAAGTCCACACCTAATAATCTTTCTCAAACTGTTCCACTAATTGCAGACCAAGCATTCAAACCTAGGAACCTATTGGGGCTATTCTTATTCAGACCACCGCATTAATCTTAATGAAACTCAGCCGGAGATGACCACTGAGGATTCTCCTACAGTTGGTTCAGTCTGGGAATAGAGGAAATTACTCACTAAAGAAGATTGCATACCACCAAGAGAATACTACAGTCAGCAGTGACAGTGGAAATGAAACCTTTACTCTCTTCCCAAATTCTGAGGTGGCTCTGATTAAAGACCAGTTCAGCAAGTCACACACTTTCTACTATGACACCTTCTCCCCACTCCCCCTCAGCTTGTGGGATGAGGTAAAGTGCCAGCTAGCTTGGGTGGCAATACATTCAGTCTCATTTGTTTATGTTGTTTTATTTTTTAGAAATTGTTGCCAAAGTCAGAGAAGTTTCCCAGCCTGACTGGACACCTCCACCTGAAGTCACGCTTCTATTGACTAAAGATAACTTTGATGATGTTGTGAATAATGCAGACATCATTCTGGTGGAATTCTATGCCCCGTGGTATGTTGGCAGTCAGATTCCTGATACTAAGATAGTGAGTGTTCAGCACCCTGCTAAACATTGGTAAAGAGTTGCAGGCCACAGCCAGCACAGGTTAACACAGGGGCAGCAATCTGGCAATGGTGATGGTTATAGGGGAAATCATGGGAGTGCATACAGAAGGAAGGAAGTTCTCCTTTTAAACTGTTATTGTGTGGGTGTGTGTATGTGTGTGTAAGAGTACAGGTGCATGTGTCACAGCATGTATGTGTCAGTAAGAGACCAGCTTTGTGGAATAGGTGTTCTCCTTACACCTTTGTTCTAGGGAATTGAACTCAAGTTGTCAGCCTTGCACAGTGAGCACTTTTACCTACTGAGCCATCTTTCAAGCCTGCTTTTTGGTTTGCTGTGTAGCCCAGGCTGTTCTCCCAACTTGGAACTGTCTTCCTGCCTGGACCTCCTGAGTTCTGGTATGCAGGCATGTGTTACCACACCTGGCTAAGAAAAGACTTGGGAGATGAATATAACCCTGGGGGGCCCTGAACTCCCCAGTAAATGGACTGTGGCACCATTTGTCTTGGTGAATTCTTCAGCCCTCAGCCAGGGGTTCTGATTTTTGAGCAGGCTTGGCATTTTTCAGGATAGTGTTGCAGTGTGTTTACAATGTAAAGATGTGTGTCTGCCTAAGGCACCTTCTGATTGGCTTAATAGAGAGCTAAGTGGCCAATAGCTAGGCAGAATAGTTGTGACTTCTGGGCAGAGAGACATAAATTGGGAGGAGGGATCTAGGTGTGATTTCTCCAGAGATTCTGAAGAAATCGGACCTATGGTACAGAACAGAGGTAATGTGGCAATACGTATATTAAAAGAGAAAGTTTAAGTTATAAGAGCTAGTTGGAAAAAAGCCTAAGCAAAGGCCAAGCTTTCATAATTAGCATTAAATCTCCATGTCGATATTTGTCAGCTGGTGGCCCAAAGAAAAGTCCGACTACATGAAGGGCCATACAGACTAGAATAGATACTAAATTATGAATTCTGGATGTGAGCAGAAGGCATTAAAAGTGCCTGTATGGGTGAGGCCTAGAGTATCAGCAAGGAAAGGAAGCTTGTGGGCCTCGAATGAGCAGGTGGAGCTTGTGGCTGATACACCGCAGAGGGGTACGGTGCCTTGTGATGTTCTGGATTCTGCAGCAGAGACCACTGTATCTGTTCATTCTTGGGTGTACAGGTGAAATGACAGCACAAAGGGGTGGCAGAAAGCAAAATGAACTGTGGAGAAGGAAGGAAGCAACCTAGTGTATTGGGGGAGCAGAAAGCCCATGGCCCCTTTGTAACCCTACTTCAGTGCTGGAGAGCCTCAAGTCCTTACATGGCTATAGAAGGGACCTGGGATGGTAGATGGGACACGGCATTGTTCCAAGCGGCCGCTTACCCATTGTGACTATTTTTTGTTGTGAAGAAACGCCATGATAATGACAGCATGAAGAAGAGAGGGTTTATGGTTCCAGAGAGATAAGCGTCCATATGATGGCAGAGTAGGGAGCTGAGGGCCCACATCTTGAACCATAAGAATGAAGCAGAGAGCAACTTGAAAGTGGTGGGAGACATTTTAACTCTGAAAGCCTTCTTTAGTGACACAAATTCCTCCAACAAGGTCAAGCTCCTAAGCTTCCCCAAACAGCACCACTAAATAGGGACCAAATTCAAATGTCCATTCAAACCACCTCAGTGAACCTTCAGGAGCTATGTATAGCAGACCCTGAACCTAACAAGCTCATTAAGCACCTCATAAGCTCATGGCACCTGAGAGTTACTCTTTACTTGCAGATAGTTTACATGTTATAGGATGCATCCTTTAATTAATTGAGTTTCCTAAAGACCTGGACAAGACTGTTACTGAGAACCTGAGGTGTCTGGGGAAGATAAGAGTCATCAGGTCTGATGGTGCAGATTGTCTATTTTGTTCGTTTTTAGTGGTGTGTGTGCTGCCACAGGTTAAACCCTGAGGGCCAGGCCTGTGCTCTGCTGCTGCTCTGGACCCTAGACAGTCTATGTTAACCTTAATAATCTTAATTGCAAGTGCCTCTGGCTCATGGTTATCTCCTGCTCTGGTTGGTTTGTAGGTTAAGAACTTGTCACATTCTAATTCTCTGTGCCTTTGTTAACATTGTTGCCTCTCTCTCAGCCTTCACATTCAGCTAACCTGTTGCCATGTCTACACTTGATAAAGGTCAAGAAAGTAATAGCTGTCAGTGAAGCCTTTCTTGACTTGTATCAATGACAGCCTCCAGTTCCCCACCAAGAAAATCTTCTCCCTTCTTAGGACATTGGCTCTCTTGGCTTTTCCCTTCTTTTACCTTGTACCACAATTATGCTTCTGTCTACAAACACATGGGCCCCTAGCATGTGGATGCCATGGCAGAAAGCTCATGTTATAAAAATTGGCTAGCTAGGCAATAGTGGTGTAGTGGTGCACACCTTTAATCCCAGTACTCAGGAGGTAGAGGCAGGAGAATTTCTGAGTTTGAGACTAGCCTGGTTTACAGAGTGAGTTCCTGGACAGCCAAGGCTATATAGATAAACCCCCTGTCTTGGGGGAGATAGGGGAACTCAAAACAAACCAAAAACTTGGTATGTACTGTGGGACCTGTCTTGCCATTCTCACCTAGGAGATATTCCAAGATTTGGTGGGTGTAACTGAGTTGCTTGGGAACTTGAGATTGGTCTATGTATCTCATTTAGCTAGTAAATGAATTCATGCTGGGATAAGTCCTAATGGAATTGACTTCCTTTTGGCAGGTGTGGACACTGCAAGAAACTTGCCCCTGAATACGAGAAGGCTGCCAAGGAGCTCAGCAAGCACTCTCCTCCAATTCCTTTAGCCAAAGTTGATGCCACTGAACAGACAGACCTGGCCAAGAGGTTTGATGTCTCTGGCTACCCCACTTTGAAAATTTTCCGAAAAGGAAGGCCTTTTGACTACAATGGCCCACGAGAGAAATATGGTATGGCTGCTACCTCCCTCATACTATGTGGAAAGGGAACTTCCTTTATACAGCTGGGAGCTAGAGGATGTGGTCAGCTGCAAGGACCTCCCTCAGACATGTGCTCTGCTCCTAGGAATTGTCAGCTACATGATTGAGCAATCTGGGCCTCCCTCAAAGGAGATTCTGACCCTGAAGCAGGTCCAGGAATTCCTGAAGGATGGAGATGATGTAGTCATCATTGGGGTCTTTCAGGGAGACAGTGACCCGGGGTATCTGCAGTATCAGGATGCTGGTAAGTACTGACGAAGGAGCATGCCCTGCCGTACTCCTGAGTCTTGGGAAGTAGGCTGTTTTGTACAAAATTAGTCATAGGGTCTAGTACACATCAGGTCCTGGACTCAAACTGTAGCACCACGGAAAGAGTAAGGTAGCAAATGGCTTGATGGAAGAGCCAGGGTAGTACCTGTGGGAATAAGCTTTCTAGCCTTGGCCTGGGGCTATAGGTCAGGTCCCTATGGCTGTCATGGTTGGTAGGTTGTATAATCACATGCTAACTAAAGTCATAAGACCAGCTGCACCATCTCCCACATCCCACACATTAATTCAACTGTGTGCCTCCCTCCTCCCCTGAGTCCCTCTGCAAAAAAGAACAGCTCTGACCGTGAAACAGCACCTCTGACCTGGGTTCAAGTCCTGCTAGTTATTAAAAGTGTGGCCACAGACTCAGTCCATCAGCCTGGTGTTTGTGAGTTTTTAGGATCCTCCTTATCACCTTTTCCTCAGCTCCCCTGTCACACACCACAAAGCTTACTCTACTCCATTACTGAGTGACCTTTCAGCTTAGCGCTTGCCACCTCATACTGATTTTTCTGTGGTAGAGCAACAGGTTGTTCCTACTGACAATTTAGGCTGGTGATTTGTTTGTTTGCTTAGAGACATGGCCTCTCTGTATATGTAGCCCTGGCTGTCCTGGAACTCATTATGTAGACCAGGTTGGCCTCAAATTCACAGAGATCTGCCTGCCTCTTCCCTCAAGTGCCCAACTCACTCTGGTGTTTTGTCAAAACTGCAGAGAGAAGCTCAGTTTAATTCATGTTTCTTTGGTCCTAATTGGTTAGTTAACTATCATCTGTTCTTGACTAATCAGGAAGAAGTTACCCAAGGAAAGTCCAGGGCTTTGGCCAAATGCAGAATCCCTAATCTCAGAATGAGCACTTGAAACCTCTGTGAAGGGCACTGGGTATGAAACCTTAGTGTAAGGTCATAGGAGTTATGTGGTACTTCCATGTCCTCTGTGAGGTACTGTTTTCCTGAGTGCCAGTTTGCTACTTGTCATAGACATGAGGTGACATTTACTCAAACAAATAGCTCTAAATTTTTGTGAACATGATTTTTATATTTATGAAAAGTTCTAAGATGGAAGACTTAGATATTATATCTGTGCTGGGTTTTAAAAACAGGCTCCTTTGTATTCCTAAGCTCTGGATATTCTCCATTCAGAATTTACAGTGGCAGTCATACCCTTCAGACCCTTGCTTGGCAAATGAGGGTCATTAACCTGTTATTTAACAATTTAATATATTCTGTTAATTTGTCAGCTAACAATCTGAGAGAAGATTACAGATTTCACCACACTTTCAACACTGAAATAGCTAAGTTCTTGAAAGTCTCCATGGGGAAGCTGGTATTGATGCAGCCTGAGAAATTCCAGTCCAAGTATGAGCCCAGGAGCAATGTGATGGATGTTCAGGTGAGTGGGGGCTCTTCAGGGATGCTATGCCTGGGTACTCTACACGCTCAAGCATCTGGACTTTGAAATGTGAGTGTGTTCTCTGCCCACAGGGTATGTGGCATACCTATCTTAGTTATTGTTTTATTGTTGTGAAGAGACACCATGTCCAAGGCCATTCTTAGAAAGGAAAGCACTGGAACAGTTACTGAAGCTACATCCCAATCCATAGGCAGAGAAAGAAAGACTGGCCTTCCATGGGCTTTTGAAATTTCAAAGACCATGTCCAGTGACACACTTCATCTAACAAGGCCACACCTCCTAATCCCTCTCCAGTAGTGCAGCTCCCTGATGACCAGGCATTTAAGTATATGAGCCTGTGGGGGCCATTCTTACTCAAACTGCCACACATTCCCAGAAAGACCGCAGAGCTCTATGTATTTGGCTCTCCTGTCATGGTCGGTGTACCATTGGTTCCTCTGCCATGCAAGCTCTTAGGTCCCTCGTCCCTAGACTCAGAGTGCTGCCACCACTCCTAGTCACAGACCATGTGACCAAAGAAGGGTCCTAATTGGGGCTACGGGCCCTATGGTCAGACATAGCCCTCATAGATGTGTGTGCTCCCAAGAAAGAGTCTAGAACATTACATTTTTTTATTATTGATTTTTTGAGATTTTTGAGGCAAAGTTGAAGACTATTTTAAAAGGAGATGGATTTGTTTGTTTGGTTTTTCAAAACAGAGTTTCTCTGTGTAACAGCTCTGGCTGTCCAGGCTGGCCTCAAACTCACTGAAATCCACCACCTGCCTCTACCTCCCAAGAGCTGGGACTGAAGACGTGTGTCACTGTTCCTGGCAGTTGAGTACATTCCTGAAGGGATCTTTACCCCAGAAAGGTTACAAGGGTAAGGTCCCTGTCATCTTGCCTGCAGCCCATCATTGCTGCCCTGCTCTTGAGTTTGCTTCCTAGTTGAACCTTGTCTCAGGTAATGGTGATGTGATTACAGACTTAATGTGGTCTTTTGCCGCCTGGACCTAGTTTATGCCTTAGTGCAGCCTCCAGGGCATCTTGCTTGCTTTTGTAGCACGTGTGACACTCCCATTGACATCAGAGTAGACCCTCCGGCCACCTTGCCCTCTCTGCACTGCTGCTTCAGCCCCGTGTGCCTTCTGCTCCCTGACTTCCCCATTACACAGGAACCCTGGGTTCTCTGTGTTGTCTCTATGCTGTATGACCAGTGTAGAGGCTTGTGCCAGCAGGTTAATAAGCTTGTACAAGTTTCTTAGCCATAAAGGAAGGTGGTTGTCTTTCCCTTGGTGGTTGGGAGGTGGTGTCTTTAAAGAGCCCTAGGGATCTCCAGTCTTCAAGACAACTGCCTGAGTTCTGTGTTCCCTTAGTAACTGCTACTCGGACAGGTGTCAAAGGTGCCATGTAAACTTGTTGGATATCTCACCTGAAGAACCAGTCAGTGTTAAAGGGCTCCATTGTTGAGTGTAGCGAAGCACAGCAACTTGTTTATGACTGCACTAAGTTAAGCCCTCAGAACACAGCCCCCAGAGAAGAGATGGTCTCAGTGGTTGAGCAGCTCACCAACCGTGTAGCTTTGTCAGGCTCTAAATTCAAATTTGAGGCTGCGCTGCTCTCTAGTATAATCTGAAGGTTAACGGTATGGTTACTCGTGGCCAACTGCAGAGCTTTGCCTGGCCACTTACTAGCTGGAGTTGACTTCAGGGCTCTTGTGGAGCTCAGTTAACTGAATATGGAAAGACCTGCACAGGTCAGTCCATGTATAGTTAGTGTTTAAGACTCTTAAACACTTTCTCATTGGCCTTTTGAGTTCAGGTCAAAAGAAGAGGTCTGTTAATGTTGGCTATGGGGAGTTTGTACAGTGTGATTGGATGGGGATGTGTGAACAACTTCACTGGCCCTCCTGTTCTGAACCTTTCAAAACATCTATGCTTGACAGTGACTCTGAAAGCAATTAGCTAAAGCCCCTCTTTTGTTGGGCTTGCTCTCACCCGTGCCCTCTTTGAAACAGGGTTCCACAGAGCCATCAGCCATTAAGGACTATGTGGTGAAACATGCTTTGCCTCTGGTGGGCCACCGAAAAACCTCCAATGATGCCAAGCGGTACACCAAGCGCCCTCTGGTGGTTGTATACTACAGTGTGGACTTCAGCTTTGATTATAGAACTGGTGAGACACCCAACAAGCCCTTTCTGGGATGGGTGCTACTATTTTTAGAAATATTTCTCTAGGGCCGCTAAAGTTAGTGGTGTGGACATAATTTACTTACAGCATTGGATTTTCATTTCCGAGCCTTATAATACCCCTTTTTCAAAGGGGGAGTTAAAGAGTCAAACCTAGGGCTAGAGAGATGGCTCAAGAGGTTAAAAATTCAGTGCTGACCATGAGGACCTGAGTTCAATCTCCAGGACCTAGATGGTGCACAGAACCAGTTCCTACAAGCTGTTTTCCAGCCTCCACACACTACCTCTTACTGCATGTGCATATTCACACACACACCCACAAAATCAATAAACACTGTAATAAAAATGAAAACAAAGTGGACAACAACAAAGAAAACAGATTTTAACAAGAGTCAAGCCTAGTACCTCCTTAGGGATGGTGGTGCAGATGTGGCACTGAGCCAGCTTCTGACTCCAGACAGTGCTGTGTTGCCCACACACAGCTCTGCTAGGAGTTAGTTGGGTTTCCACCCTAAGGCTGCCTGCTCACACATTGTGACTCTACCAGAATTCCTTTTCTGCCCAGTTGAGGTATATCTGGGACCTGTGCCTTGCCAGAGACCCCTCAGTGCCAGAATCTTAAATCTCAGAGTCCAGGGCAGGACAATTACTCTGTTTAGCCACTTGGTCCACAGCCTTTGTCCATTTCAGCTACTCAGTTTTGGCGTAACAAAGTCCTGGAGGTGGCCAAGGACTTCCCCGAGTACACCTTTGCCATTGCTGATGAGGAGGACTATGCGACAGAAGTGAAGGACCTGGGTCTCAGTGAGAGTGGCGAGGACGTCAATGCAGCCATCCTAGATGAGAGCGGGAAGAAGTTTGCCATGGAGCCAGAGGAGTTTGATGCAGACACTCTCCGGGAGTTTGTCACAGCTTTTAAAAAAGGTGAGTTGGGCCAAAAGTCTCCCTTTGGACAGAACACAGAACATGGGTCAAAGGAATATCTGGTATCCTGTGGTGTATAAGGGAGTGTGGATATGGGGTAGTAGGTGCTTGCTGTGGAAGCAGGAGGAATACTGTTCAAATCCCCAACACTCATGTAAAAAGTGCATATGGCCTTGCATGCTGTAACCCCAGCACTGAGATCCAAAGACAGGCGAGCCCCTGCAGTTGTGGCATCAGGGCTTTCAGGCTCTCAGTCCTAGTGCCATCAGTAGCTCTCAGGCATTGGTCAGTATTTATGTTAGCCTGGACTTTGCAGGGACTGGAAGAGTGGAAGATACTTTTATCATAGCATTGCCCATTGTTTGGGAAAGGTTTTAGTGGGGCTACCTGAGAGTGGTGCTAATAACTTCTGAGAGCCACTGATTCAAGTTGCCTCAGTGCCTGGTTCAGATAGAGTACCAGAATCCATGGCCTTTAAGTACTGACACTCCTCTTCTTATATTTGGCAGGAAAACTAAAGCCAGTCATCAAATCACAGCCAATACCCAAGAACAACAAGGGACCAGTCAAGGTGGTAGTGGGAAAGACCTTTGATGCCATCGTGATGGATCCCAAAAAGGATGTCCTCATTGAATTCTATGCACCCTGGTGTGGGCACTGCAAGCAGCTGGAGCCCATCTACACTAACCTAGGCAAGAAATACAAGGGCCAGAAGGACTTGGTCATAGCCAAGATGGATGCTACTGCTAATGACATCACCAATGACCGATATAAGGTGGAGGGCTTCCCCACCATCTATTTTGCCCCCAGTGGGGACAAAAAGAACCCAGTTAAATTTGAGGGTGGAGACAGAGATCTGGAGCATTTGAGCAAGTTTATCGATGAACATGCCACAAAGAAAAGCAGGACCAAGGAAGAGCTTTAAAGGCCTGGTGGTCTGCAGAAGGTGAAGGGACCAGACACTGTAGTGGACATCATTAGGCACCAAGCAACACAATGACAGTATCTTGACTTCTTTTTTTAATGCTTTGTTGTGCCACCTCATGCTCTGAATACTGAATAGCCATGAATGACTTGATAGTTTCAACAAGAATTTTTTGGAGGATACATCTATTTTTATCATTTGGGGTTTGATTGGTTTGGTTTGGTTTTTAACCTTTTACTTTAGTATTTCCTCAAAGAAATAAGTTTGGATCTTCTGTGTGAGAATGTTTTTTTGTTTGTTTTGTTTTTTGTTTTAATTTAAAGTTTAAAAAGTCTTTGCCAAATCATGTTCGATTGCCTTTTATTTTCTTGTTCACACATTTTTTTATCTTAAAAATAGGTAACCGTTAGTGTGGTTGTTTTTGTTTCTTCCTGTTAATGGTGCCAAGTGAGGGTTCTCCCGCACACCTGACCATGATGGCATTTCAGCCTGACCTCAGAGCCATGTCCCTGTCCAGGCTGAAGCAGCGTCTCATGCTGGATGGCAGGTAGTGACAGTATGGCCACTACTGGTTTCTCAAACCAGTTAAAGTGATCTTGGGCTCTTTAGAGAAGAAGACTTAGAAACCTTCAGTTGGTAGAAAAGTTGTAGTAGGCTCCTAATAATGAGGCAACCATATACCTCAATAACTGCTAGAAAAGTGGGCATGGTGGCACACCTTTAATCCCAGCATTTAGGCAGAGGCAGGCAGGTCTCCGGTTTCAAGGCCAGCCTGATCTACAGATCAAGTTCTAGGACAGCCAGGGCTACAATGAGAAACCCTGTCTCAAAAAAAACAAAAAAACAAAAACAAAACCGCAAAACTGTTAGGAAATAGCTACCCTTTCCTAGGATAATTAGGGTAGAATAGAAGCGAGAGAGGCCAGGCCTGGACCTAGTAGGCACACTCTTCAACCTGAAGAAGGTGTCTTCCATCTGACCTCCTGATGATCCCTGGGGAATTTCATCCAGGGTGCCAGAGAGGCCTTGGCTCCTGATTGAAGCAGGGGATGGCGTGACCGCTGCCAATGGGCTGAGAGGAGGAAGGGGTGGGCTGGCATGGATCTAGAGGCCCTGCTGAGACATAGGTCTGGGGGATCTGAATAGTGCATTTCATCTAAGTTTTTTCTCCCCAACTCTACTTCTGCCCTCCCTAAGCACTCACCTGCTTTTTGACAGAAGACAAAGGCAGCTCTGTGCAGTGACTGGCTTGGCAGGACATCTAGTGGGGAGATGAGCTTTCCGTGTGATCTGCCGTAACTTTGAGTCTGACAGAATTGAAAGTGCTCCGATGTCCAGGTCTTTGGTCCCCAGTGTGATGAGTCTGCTGTCTCAGGTTACTCCTATCCTAAGAAGAAGCTCTCCCTGTCCGTTAGCATACATCTCAGAGGAGGGAAGGTGTGGACAGTGCTCAGAAATTTCAATGTTGCCAGACCTAAGTGCATCTCCCTGTAGGGCTGCCTGATTCCAAAGGGCCAGAATGAAGAGAATTAATCTCTAAGAGAACAGCCATGTGACTTCATTTCTGCAAGTCCTTCCTGGAATGATAAGTGCTGAGACTGAGCTAGCTTGAATGGAGATCCTGGAACCCGCACTGGAAATACCTGGGTGTTTGCCAGAAACACTGAAATCCAGACTGTTCACACCAATTTGCATATAAAAAGATACTGAGTGAGGATGGGATGTGTGGCTCCTTTGGCTCCCAGGGCTAATTCTGCTGATCTGGCAGTCCACACCTTCCTTGTCACTGCCCATGTCTTATGTCTCCCCAGAGGCTGTGCACTTGGAAGGGGTTGGGAGGACCATTTCTTAATGAAGGGTATGTGAGCAGTTACCCCTGTTAGAAACTTCAAAATCTCGGGAAGAAGCAGGCTGCACCTGCCTGTGTCTTAACTAAGTCATCTGCCTCTTGAAGCAGATGGCAGGACCCTGTTCTACCAATCAGTCAGCAGAGCGCTGATGGACTGACTACCCAGACAGACCTCCTGGGTTGGCAAGAAGCTCTTCAACTGTTAGTCCTTGGCACCTTTTCATTTTGTTTTGTTTGTTTTTGTTTATTGCATCTGACATCTTTATTGCTTTAATAAGTTATCTGCTCAGGGAAGATTCCCCCCTACTCCACAGTGTTTCTCTGTGTATCTTTGGAGCCTTCTAAGAACTCGCTCTGTAGACCAGGCTGACCTGGAACTCCCAGAGATCCACATGCCTCTGCCTCCTGATTGCTGGAATTAAAGATATGCGCCACCACCACCCGCCTTTGAAGATTTTATTATGTGTAAAATACTGGCATAAATTGTGAGGAGAATTTTTGTTACTTTGATTGATTTTTCTTTTATTTTTCCAAATTCTTTTTTCTCATTTCTTTTATTGAAAATAGATTGTTTTTTCATGCAATATATCCTGATTATAGTTTCCCCTCCCTCCACTCCCAGTTCCTCCCCACAGCTCTGGATCCACTCCCTTTTGTCTTTTATTAAACAATAGGCTTCTAGGAGATAGCAACCAAACATGACAAAATTAATAAGATGAATCAAAAACAATCATGGAGGTTAGACACCATAACCCAACAGGAGGAAAAGAGTCCCAAGAGCAGTCACAAAAATCAGAGATAGGCTTGTTCTCACAGTTCATAAAATTACTAAACTAATAGCTAAGCTACAATGTATACCAGAGGACCTGGTGCAGACCCGTGTGGGCCCTGTGGGCCCTGTGCTTCCTGCTTCAGTCTCTGAGAGCTCACATGTGCCTTGCTCAGTTGAGTCAGAAGGCCTTGTTCTCTGGGTGTCCTCCAACCCCTCTGGCTCTTACAATTTTTTCTGCCTCCTCTTCTACAGGGTTCCCAGAGTCTGAAGGGAGGGATTTGATGAAGATTTCCCATTTATACTCTTTCCAAAATGTCTGGCTGCTAGAGGAAGACTCTGATGATTACCCAATAAGGCACTGATCAATAGGAGTCATTGATTTTATTTATTTGCTTATTTACTTGTTTATTTATTTATTTATGATCACTAATGCTTCCTTGGCACCTTTTGTATCATTTGCAATCTTGGAGTAGCAGGTAGGAGCAACTGCAGCTGGTACCCTCTCGTGTTGGAGCCCTAGTGGTCCCTGGTAGCACATAGGCTAACTCCACCTCTGTGCTAGAGGTCTCATGTACCTAGGCAGTCAGGAATCCTTAGACCTTGACAGCAGTTAGTCCTGTAGCTGCTGAGCAGGTTTGGCAATGGGATTTCTCAGATCTTGACAGCGGCCAGTGTTAACTCTCAATCTTGGATATCTGAGACCCTTGGCTCTAAAAGCTTGACAACTTTCTGGAACTCCAGTGGCCAGGGCCTATAGTTTCTCTTTACATACCTCTTCCTTTGATTCTCAGATTTCTATTCTTTTCTGTCATCCTTGATCCTGCCCAGAATCAAACAAAAACCATGTTATATATACATATATTATGTATTTTTATCTCTGACCCCCAGTTAAGCAGCTTTTTTCCTTATGAGTGTGCTGTGTCAGAAACATGGATATGTTTGTTTCTTTTCGTGATATCAGAATGTATTGTATAACAAATTGCAAGGTATGTGGTTTCAAGGACAGCAATTAGCTAGCTACTTCCTGGCTGAGGTGAACACAGATTCTTTTTTTTTTCTCTCTCTTCCAGTTTTCAAGACATGGTCTTTCTGTCTTGAGCTAGTCTACTGGAACTAGCTCTGTAGACTAGACTGGCCTTGAACTCAGAGATCCACCACCTGCCTCTGTCTCATAGGTGCTGGGATTAAAACCGTGTGCCACAACTGCGTGGAAAACAGAGTCTTTATTTCCAATCTTCATTATTAATAAGAACACTCAGATCACACATTACACAATAAATATGTATGTTTGTGTATATGTGGGTTGAGAGTCTACATAGGGCTACAGAGGCAAGGAGCTTCAGTGAGGCCCAAAAGCCAAAGCTGTAAAACTGAGAGGAATGCAATGGAGACAATGGACTGAAGCAGCTTCAGTGGCTGCAAATCAGGCCATTGCATGTCAGAGGTTTGAGACTGCAGCTGCAGAATTGAGTGGGCCACAGGTGAACAGGCAGGGCCCAGCCAGATAAAGGAACAGGCTGGTGGTTAGACAGCATGGTCCAAAGGAGGAGTCTGGAGAGACACCAGTTTGAGTAGGCCATGTCAACACCAACACTGGGAATTGGGCCTTGTTTTTTGTGTATGGGTGTTTTGCCTGCATGTGTGGCTGTGTATCACATGTGGCTGGCACCCACAGAGGCTGGAAGATGGTACAAGGCATTTGTAAATTGTCATGTAGGTGCTGGGAATCGAACCCAGGTCCCCTGGAAAGATCAGCTAGTTCTCTTAACTGCTGAGGCAGCCCTTAAGCCCCCAAGTGTTGGTTCTTGGCTCACACCAGGTGATCAGATGACAGGTTTGTGGGGGCTGTGGGCATCACAGTTCTAGGTGTTCATATCTGTATGGGGCACATTTAGAGAAGTTATAACCTTTCCTTAGTCTAGTGTGTCATTTATCAGTTTGTGTCACATGAGTGGTGCTGGGCAGATGGTGCCAAATCACACAGGTGCACAGTTATCTTCTGTCCTCAGAATGGAGTCAAATGCTGCTTATAAAATGGAGTTCCAGGGAGATGGCTCAGCAGGTGAAAGGACTTGCCAAACCTGAGAGCTTGAGTGTGATCCCAGGGCCCACATAGTGGAAGTAGAGAACTGACTTGCAAGTTGTCTGAACTCTACAGGTGTTCCATGGCTCATGTGCCCCCCACACATTCATACACTAAGTTAGGTTAAAAAATTTACATAAAGTCATGGAGAGGCCCAGTCTGAAAAATAAGTTTTATACAATTATTACTCAGAGCAGGGCACAAGCTGATCTTAACAATCCAGGGGCCATTTAGGGGCCAGGTATTTTCAATACTAGCATGCTATTTCCTGTTGAGAGCTGGAGCTGAGAAAGACAATTTCGCTCTAAATATTTTATTTTTGAGGCTGGGGAGATGGCTTAGTTGCAAGAGTGCCTGTTGTGCCAGGCACTGGTGGTGCATGCCTTTGATCCCAGCACTCAGGAGGCAGAGGCAGGCAGATCCCTGTGACTTCAGGCCAGCATGGTCCACAAATGAGTTCCAGGACAGCCAGGACTACACAGAGAAACCCTAATTCAAAAAACAATGCTTGTTGCTGTTCCAGAGAACCCACATGGTGGCTCATAGCCATCGATACCCCAGTTCCAGAGGGTCCAATGACTTCAACACACACACACACACACACACACACACACACACACACACACACACACACACGGCTATGT